ACAGCAAGCCTATGAGAGACCATCAACACTAGTCATTAGGGAAATGCAAATCAAAACCACAGTGAGGTGACACTGGAAAGCACTTTGACAGTTCTGTTAAACCACATAGCCCAGCAGTCCCACAACGATTTTCCCTGCAATAAGGAAAAATTGTGTTCACATGAAAACCTCTGCACAAATATTTATAGCAACTCTGTCCATAATCGCCCAAATCTGGACACAACTACATGTCTTCCCATGGATGAAGGGGTAACCACCCGTGTCTCCCTGTGCAGGCAAACACCATTCCACAATAGAAAGGAACATGCCACTGACACACAGTGCACTGGGGTGGATCTCAAAAACATGATGCTTAGCAAAAGCAGCCAGTTACAGAGATCCCATGCTGCGTGCCTCCACTCACGTGACCTTCCCGAGACAACAGTGTGACAGGGATGGAAGGTGCATCAGCACTCAGCAGGGTTGGGTGGGGAGGGCTGGACTCCAGCAAGAGGGGTGCAGTTCCTCGGCATCCTTGAGTGGAACTTTGTACATGTGAAAATTCTCAGACCTAAACAGCTCTTTTAAATGGGACCAGATGGGGAAATAAAACTAACATTTTTGGTCATCTGTTTTATATCAGTCACCACAGGTACAGTTGTGACCTTTGAACAACAAGTGTCCAAACTACATGGGTCTACCTACATACAGATTTTTTTCTTAAAAAAATTTTTTTTTTTTTTGAGACGGAGTCTCTCTCTATCGCCTAGGCTGGAGTGCAGTGGCATGATCTCGGCTTACTGCAAGCTCCACCTCCCCGGTTCACGCCATTCTCCTGCCTCAGCCTCCCGAGTAGCTGGGACTACAGGCACCCGCCACGACGCCGGCTAATTTTTTGTATTTTTTAGTAGAGACGGGGTTTCACCATGTTAGCCAGGATGGTCTCGATCTCCTGACCTTGTGATCCACCCGCCTTGGCCTCCCAAAGTGCTGGGATTACAGGCGTGAGCCACCACACCCGGCCTTAAAATTTTTTAAAAAATTTTTTTAATTAAATCTGCTTAAATAGACATGGGGTCAGCCAGGTGTGAAATGGCAAGCATGTCACCAAATGATAATACTTAAAGCAAGTTCACAGGTTTTGTTAAAAAAAAAGAAACAATCTAGTACATCCACAAATAGGAAACCAAACACACCTGAACACATCTATGATTAAATAAGAATATTTAATGGCATGGAATGATATGTACACTGTAGGTTCAATATGTTTTCAAAACATACCCAGCACCTATGGCTGCCTGTGCATAGTGAAAGCATAGAAAGGTATAACAGAGTAATTTTTACAATTAATAAAGTTCAATGCAATTGAGAAAGGTTTCTATAAAATTTGTTAAAATATTTTAGAGGGCAAATGCTTACTTTGCATAGCAATGCTTCAGTTACCTGGAATGCCCTCCCTTCTTTCTTCCAAGCAATTTTATGCAGTGCTAAGCTCAGTGGCTCTTACTCCAAGTGCCAGCAAGGTGAACAACCCAGTTCCTGCTCTCAGGGAACTCACATTCTGGTGGAATTTATTTTTGCAACATACTTGCTGACAATATCAAATGAATAAGCTATTAGTATTGAAAAGTAATTTACACACTCTCCAGTGTGGTCCTCATTGTGACATATGTCTTCCTATGAGATGGATGCAAACTCACAGCAAAAACTATGTGTATACATACAGCCACATGCCGCATGACTTTCAGTCGATGACGGACCACATATATGGCGGTGGTTCCACCATATCCTATTTTTGCTATGCCTCTTCTATGTTTCGATACATAAATGTTTACCACTGTGTTACAACTGGCTACAGTAGTCAGTACAGTCACATGCTGTCCAGGTTTGTAGCCTAGAAGCAATAGGCCATACCATAGAGCCCAGGTGCACAGTAGGCTGTACCATCTAGGCTTGCGTGTCACTCTATGATGTTTGCACAATGACAAAATTGCCTAATGATACATATCTCAGAATGTATCCCCATCCTTAATTGATGTGTGACTGTATTTTACTAACCTGGCCAGGTGGGACCTTCACCAATAAAAATTCTACATAGAAAATGCTATTTATTATTTCTTTCAGACATTAGAGATTCCTTAACTTTAGTTTTAAATAATCTTGATATACAAACTTTTTATTTCCCTTGTTCTCCAAATATGGTAAACCAAGATTTTTCATATTAACAGGTACGACTTCTACCTACATATATTGCCTTTGGAAAAGACAATTATCTGCAACTGTAATTAAACATTCTTTTATTTCTCCCATTGCTTAAAGGAGTTCACTCTTCTGGCTGAAATATAAAACTATACAATTATAAATACTTATTTGCAAGGCTTCTCTTTGAACAAATTTGCTTGTTGTATAAGCCACTTGCTGATCACTTTATAAGCTACTTAATTATAAAACATGGTGTGACAGAGTGTCTTGTATAGTTTAATTGAATTATAGTTTTGCATTTTAAAATGTACAGATTATGCTATATAACATATTAGTTTTAAATTGTTTTATAATTGTTATGGACTCACTATGTGTCAGTCCCCAGATCTGTCAGCATGCTGGATGATGAAATTCATAATAGCTCTTGAGAAACTAGAGGAAAATTTACACCCAGAGTTGCTCAGAAAGGTCTGGGCATGTTCTAACTATCACATCCCAGATGGACCCAGCCCTGATGGGATCCTCACATCCCCTTCCCTTCTTATGGAGACACAAAGCTGAGCACCTGTCTATTGACAGCTTTCGGCTTTTAGACAGCCTCTCAGACTAGGCCAACTGCTCACAATCCTGCTGACCCTCTTTGGCCCCTATGATGTTGTAAAGGCAATGCGGTACTCATGTCAGCAGCACACATACTACAACTGGCACAACACAGAGGTCAGCATGGGCCCCGTGCACAGATGACATATAAATTCATGAAGTATTCTACATATATATATGTGTATATATATGTTCTACATATATATGTGTGTATATATATGTTCTCCGTATATATATGTGTATATATATTTTTATATAGGTATATATAAATATACATTTTTTTTTTGAAACTGGGTCTTGCTCTGTCATCCAGGCTGGAGTGCAGTGGTGCTATCACGGCTTACTGCAGCCTCGACCTCTTGAGCTCAAGTGATCCTCCTGCTTCAGCCTCCCAAGCAGCTGGAACTGCAGGTGTGCACCACCACATCTGGCAAATTTTTGTATTTTTTGTAGAGATGAGGTTTCACCATGTTGCCCAAGCTGGTCTCAAATTCCTGAGCTCAAGTGATCCTCCTGCCTTAGCATCCCAAAGTGCTGGGATTACAGGCATGAGTCACTGTGCCCAGCTGCATTCCATATTTCTACACACACATGCACACATGGAGGAGTATACGTTGGGGAAAGTAAAGCTGGGGAAATGTGAATAAAATCAGTGGGTTGTATTGATATCAATATCCTGATTGTGATATGTGTGAAATGTTACCGCTGAAAGAAATTGGGCAAAGTATACAACTATGTGTGACTCTATGATTACATTGTATAGGATTAGATTGCATATAATTATATCAACATATAATCATAAAATACATTCATTGCCTTTATAATAGTATGATTATATCAATATAATGTTTAATTTTTTAAAAAGGCAATGAGCTGGGCGCCGTGGCTCACACCTGTAATCCCAGCACTTTGGGAGGCTGAGGCGGGTGGATCACAAGGTCAGGAGTTTGAGACCATCCTGGCCAACATGGTGAAACCCCGTCTCTACAAAAAATACAAAAATTAGCTGGATGTGGTGGCGTGTGCTTGTAATTTCAGCTATTTGGGAGGCTGAGGCAGGAGAATTGCTTAAACCTGGGAGGCGGAGATTGCACTGAGCCCAGATTGCACCACTGCACTCCAGCCTGGTGACAGAGTGAGATTCTGTCTGGGAAAAAAAAAAAAAAAAGTCAATGCAGTTAGGCAGGTATAATGCATGAGCATAATATGGGCATAACATATGAGCATAACATGGGAAGCCTATCTCATTGATATATACGATTTACTTGGTCTCTGCACCTGACAATCTCCTGGTCTAAAGCTTTAAAAATGTACTTACTGTTACCTTGTCACTATACTAATGTGCAAACATATGAAATAAGATAGAAAATGTCCACAAGGGCCAGTGATCAAAGGAAATAACAGACAACAAAAACACTACACACCCTTCTCTGAAATTTTCCATGAGAGCTGAGGGTTCAAGTGAATATTTCCTTCTCTTCTGGAAGACTCCTCATGAAGGTGGTAGCATAAATAATTATCCACAAAGGATTGTCAGGCATTCATCCCTAATGAAACTACTAAGCCAAAACTAACAAAAAAAAATTGTAATGATAGTTTTGTAGCACAAAATAATTAAACTGAGGCAGGCAGAGGAAAGTAAGAGAATCCACATAACCACAGCTTACATCACTTTAAATCTCGACAGCCCCAGGTGGTGAGAACGAACCCAGTCCCAGCAGTCCAGGCTTCTCCGTTCCTCCTCTTGCAGGCACAGTTTGGGTAGAGACATCTCTTGGGCTCTTGCCCACTGACTTGTCATTCACAGGCATTCAAACTGTGATGTTTGAAACCGTGCACCTCCGCAGATCCAGGGACAGTCCCTCCAGTCCAAAGGCTTACTGCAACTGGCCCTCAGCCCCCTTCAAACTGGACTTCTGGTTGCTTCTTTCCTTCTCCCCCTGAATTCGGAAGAGCTTCTTCCTGAGGTCCTTCTGCCGCTTCAGCTTCTCCTCCTCCTCCTTCTGCTTGGCTCTGAAGTGCTCCTTATTGTGCAGGTGCTGCTGCTCCTTGGCCTTCTTCATCTTCTGACTGTGCACCGTACTCAGAGCATCCAGCAGTGCAGGATCTGACCAGGACAAAAGCCAGTGAGTAACAGAATGCTCTCAGCCACCTGACACACTCGCATCCTAAACACTAAGACTAGAGGCAACCCATGATCCAAATGAATATTAACTGCATGAAAATGCATCCTGCGCTAGGAAGTCATTGTTGGCATGGAGACACAGGTGTGATCGCATTTTACCTTTACCACCTGTGTTCATCATTCTGTGGACACTGTGTGCAGCTAACCAAGACAGAGGAGTTCCCCAGCCATGTGCCTGTTATCCCCATCAAAAGCACAGGGCAGAGCAGGACCAGGAAAAGGAAGGGAAATGGACTCTGGCTCTTCCTCTGACTTTAGTTCCAGTGCCCTGAATAACTGAGACTGCAGTAGAAACAGGAAGTGTGCTGCTGAGAGCGTTCTTTTCCTATTTAAACGCAGCATGCAGTACAGCATGGGCAACAGTACCTGTCTTTCATGAGGCTCGCGTATGACGGCCGGTCTCCAGCTGTTCTTCGGCACCTTGCCTGCCTTTGCTTGGGTCTTGGGCTTGTTCTTAAATGGCAGGGCCTTCTGCGAGGCTTTTGGAATCTGCAGTGAATTTTTGCCTCAGGATTGCCTTAGGACTGGCTAAAAAGAAAAATAAAGACCGTGACATATTCAAATTATGACCAATGTGTATTTAAAACTTCTGTATAAAATCTTCTCATTGGGTTGACTTTTCCACAAGATCAGCAACACCAGAGTACACTGGCCCTGAGAAATCAGGTCTCAATCATCCGCCAAATATGAACTGCCTCAGTGGACCCCCATAATTCTTGGTAAACAGAGGAACAGAGAGCTTATACTTCCAACTCTCCCCCCAAAACCCTCTGTGCCCATTTCTATGGTATGGAACTATGGGGTCTCAACAGAGCAGATGAATAGATCCCAGTTTCTTTTCATGGAAATTTTAGGCCTTGTCTTTAGGCCACTGAGGTGGTTATTTCCCAGCCTAACAAAAATAATTTAGTTTTTCATCTTGACTATCAACCACTCTAGATATTGGGTTTTTCATTTGTTTGTTTGTTTGTTTGCTTGCTTGTTTGAGATAGAGTCTCGCCCTGTCGCCCAGGCTAGAGTGCAGTGGCACAATCTCAGCTCACACAGCCTCCACCTCCCGAGTTCAAGCAATTCTCCTGTCTCAGTCTCGCAAGTATCTGGGACTACAGGCACACACCACCATGCCCAGCTAATTTTTGTATTTTCAGTAGAGATGGGGTTTCACCATGTTGGTCATGCTGGTCTAGAACTCCTGACCTCAGGTGATCCACCTGCCTTGGCCTCCCAAAGTGCTCGGATTACAGGCATGAGCCACCACGCCTGGCCCACTCTGGATTTAAGGACAGTTCTTCCTTCAGTCAGCAGCCAAAGAGTCCTGATTCCTGATTCTAATTAAGAAGTTTAACTTTATTCTATTTCTGATGGAAGGCTGGCTGAAAGAAGGGAGACTCAAAAACAGATGAAGGCAAAATACTCTGTACTGAATTTTCAAGGTAATCTTAAATTCTATGTTCAATCAAGATGGCACAAATTCTTAATGGCCTCATAAATACTATTAATAAATTGAAAGTTTTGCCCTAGGCTTTTATTAAAGAAAAAGTTTCTCCTATGTCTTGAAATGTAGTATTAAAGACATCATCCCCAATAATATTCCATATTCTCTGTTTAGGAACCCCAATTGTTTTCGAATTCAAGAATTCAGAGAAATCTGCTTCTCACAGAAGAGTAGAATGGATAATGGGCACCACATCCTGAAGTGTATTTTAATAAAAATTCATGTAAGACGGTTCAAAATTTCATTAACTACTTTATATAAAAACAAATGCCTGGGAGACTTCTGTTTCTAGCAGAGTGGCAGACTGATGCCTTGAACAACCCTCTTCTTACAAAACTGAATACTCCACATGAAAACAAATCTTTTCAAATACGTTGTTAAGCTATGAAGAGAATAACGAAATTTCTAAGAAACCAAAAATCTAAATGAAAATAGAAGTCCAGACAGGCACTGAACACCTAAAAAAAAAAAAAAAAGAAAAACAAAACAAAACAAAACTTGAATTGTCTTCAAGCATGTGGAACAGCAGGAACTCTTTAAGCTGCTGCTGCTGGTGGAGGCCAAGCCACTGTGCTCCCAGAACACGACACAGAAGCCTCCACACTGAGGCAGAGCACAGGTGCCCTGGAGTCTCCACCCCACCCAGGGATCCTCCAGCAGAAGTGTGTGTGCCCCTGCATACCTGCAAGTCCCATATCCAGACCTAGCGTTCAGGGCCGTGGGATAACGGCCAAAAATAGGAAATCATTTTACTCATCAGTAGATAAATGGTGACACAGTCATATAATGGAACTCAACAATGACAATAAATCAATGTCTGCCATAGACAAGAACATGGTTGTGTCCTATAATACTGAAGCAAAGAAGCCAGGCTAAATAGAATGTGTTGTATTTTATAAAATTCAAAACCAGGCAGAACAAATCTATGTCAGGAACTGGGAAAGTGGCTATTTTGGGGGGCGGGGTGGGGCAGCAGTGCCTGGGAGAGGCTTCAGTGTAAGGCTACTGCTTGGTCCAGGGTGTGGCAGCCTGGTGTGCTACAGTTTATCTAGCTGCACACCTGCAATTTGGGCATTCTTCTGTATGTACATTAACATTTTAATAAAAAGCTTATTAAAACATTAAAACTTTCAGAAAAATCCACATTGCTTCAATAGAAATTAGCACATTGATGCTTTAAAAATACATGTATATGGTGGGGGAAAAAGTGGTTCAAAAGAGTACCCAGTGAAAAGTTTAAGAGGGAGGGACACCAGCAAGGGGCCAATCAATAGTCCCCTGCGTTTGTCCTCTGACAAAGACAGCCAAAGCAGCAAACAACTATATTTTGATGAAGGTTCTAAAGGAGAGCCCAGAGTGCATCAAGGAGTAGCAGAAATCCAGTAGAGCACAGAAAACCAGGACGGTCACATAAAGGAGAGAAGGAAATATCTGTCCCCCACCACCCATCCCCAGAGGGATCAGCCTGAAGCAGAGGGGATGTCTCCCTGCGGAGATAAGGAAGCAAAAGGGGCCCAGCAGCCCCAGCACTCCCCTCAGAGAAGGAACTGATGTTGCGCCCCACCCCTATGGACCAGCTGCTGCTGCAACATGACCTCCTGGACCCGGAACCACTTCGGGAGCATGTCCCGCCCAGGGTGAGCAGCCACCGCACCTTTCTACCATCCTCAGGGTTTGTTGCTCTGTATCACCCCCGCCTAGTGGCCCACCACCCCTGAGCTGCTGTTACACTGTCTTAGGCCATTTAGTATGGCTTAACAGAATACCTGAGACTCGGTAACTTATTTTATAAAAAAGGTTTATTTGGCTCACCCTGCTTGTGTCTGAAAAGTCTGAGATAGGGCAGCACATCTGGTGAGGGTCTTGTGCTGCTTCATCTCATGGGGAAAGTGGAAGGGGAAACAGGTGTATGCAAAGGGCTCACATGGCAAGAGAGGAAACACGAGAGTCTAGGAAGCTGAACTGACTCTGATAATCCACTCCTGGTAACTAATCCAGTCCCATGAAAAGGCCTAACCTATTCATAAAGGATCTGCCCCAGTGACCCAAATACCTCCCACTAGGCCCCACCTCCCACACCACCACATTTGGAATCAAATTTCAACATGAGTGCTGGTGGGAACAAACGAAGTCCACATCACAGCATACACCCTACCCTGTGGGGCCAGGCTGCTGTGCCCCTCCCCTCCCAGCTGCAATTGCGCCCTGCCCCTTGGGCCCTGAGCTGACTTGGTGCCCTGCTTTCCAGGGAATCAGTGCCTTGGCTACCCAGAGCAGACAACCTCTCATTGCATGAGAGCTGCAGCACTGCCCCGCTTCACAGGGAATCAGTCTTGGCTGAGCTGAGCAGCCACACCTGACAGGGATGAGACAACATGGCACCCCCACATCCCAGGAAAATAGCATTGGCTGAACTGGGATATCTTGCCTTTCAGGACAAACAACTGTGGAACCCTGCTTTCTTGAAACTGGACTATCCCTGGAGAATCTGAGTTGCCCAGGCACCTGCCTCTCCAGGGAGAGAAGTAGTTGTTGCGCTGGTCCCTGCCCCCAAGGGCCCAAGCCACAGCAGTGCTCCACCATTCTGGGGTCCTTGCTGGTGCTGTACTTGGCCTCATGGAGACTGGGATGCTGCTGTGTTCCACCACTCCAGGGTCCAGAGTCACTACCACGTAACTCCCATGTCCAGAGTCACTCCCATCCCCTGGGGGTTTACTTCTTAAACTTCTCCCAAAAATAGAGCGAGAGGAAATAATTCCAAACACATTTCACCAGGCCAGTGCCACCTTAATACCTAAGCCAAACCAAAACACACACATACACACACAAAAAACTACAAGTCAACTTCTCCAATAAATTAAACACTGATGCAAAAATCCTAAAAAAATTTTAGCAAATAGAATTCAACAACACATCAAAAAGATTATACATAATGATTAAGTGGGATTTTCCCTGGTGTGCAAGCCTGGTTTAACATATGCAAATCAATGTGATATATCACATTAACAAAATAAATGTAAAACCACATGGTCACCTCAATTGATGCAGAAAAAAGCATTTAACAAAGTTTAGCAACATTTCTTCATAAAACCTCTTAATAGTTTATGTATAGAAGGAAAGTTTCTCAACATAATAAAGACCATTTATAAAAAACCCACAGTCTACATCATAGTTAGTGGGGAACAACTGAAAGCTTTTCCACTAAGATTGAGTACAAGATAGAGATGCCCAGTCTTGTCACTTGTATTCAACATAGTACTAGCAAGAGCAATCAGATGAGGAAAAAAAAAAAAAGGCAACTAAATTAAAGAAGTAAAATTATCTCTATTTGCAGATGACAAGATCCTTTATCTAAAAAACCCCAAGGATTCCACAAAAAAACTGTGAGAACTACTAAATTGATTCAGTTAAGCTGCAAGGTATAAACTCAACATATAAAAATCAATCGCATTTCCATATACAAATAACCTAGTTGACAAAGAAATCAAGAAAATAATCTCATTTACAACAGCATCAAAGAAAAACAAAAACTTAGCAATAAATTTAACCAAGAAGGTGAAAGATGTGTACACTTGAAAACCATAAAACATTGATGAAAGAAATTTAGACATGAACAAATGGAAAGATATCCTATGTTCATGGTCAGAAGAATTAATATTGTTAAAATGTTCACACTGCCCAAAGCAAATATACAGATTTAAAACAATTCTCATCAAAGTTCTGATGGCATTCTTCACAGAACAGAAAAACACAATTCTGGCCGGATGTGGTGGTTCACACCTGTAATCCCAGCACTTTGGGAGGCCGAGGCAGGTGAATCATGAGGTCAGGAGTTGGAGACCAGCCTGGCCAACATAGTGAAACCCTCCCTGTCTCTACTAAAACCACAAAAATTAGCCAGACATGGTGGCACGTGCCTGTAGTCTCAGCTACCCGGGGGACTGCGGCAGGAGAATTGCTTGAATCCAGGAGGTGGAGGTTGCAGTGAGCCAAGATCGTGCCACTGCACTCCAGCTTGGGTGACAGAGTGAGACTTCATCTCAAAAAAACAGAAAAAACAATCCTGAAACTCATATGGAACCATAACAAATCCCAAACAGCCAACAGGTTACTGTTAGAGAAAAAGTTGGAGACATCACATCTCCTGATTTAAAATTGTATTACAAAACTATAGTAATCAAAACAGTATGGTACTGGCATAAAAACAAACAAACAAAAAATAGACCAATGGAACAGAACAGAGACTTTTGAAATAAAGGTCATATACTGCCAACTAATTTTTGACAAGGGCAAATAAGACAACACAGTGGAAAAAAAGATATTCTCTTCAATAATAGTGCTGGGAAAACTGGATTTTCACATGCAAAAGAATAAAATTGGACCCTGATCATACACCACACACAAAACTTAACTCAAAACAGATGCAAGACCTAAAGAAGACCTGAAACCATAAAACTCCTAGAAGAAAACATAGGGGGAAAGCCTCTTGATATTGGCCTTAGCAATAATTTTTGGATATTGCACCAGAAGCCAGGCCAACGCAAACATAAACAAGGAGGACTGCATCAAGCTAAAAAGCTTCTGCACAGCGAAAGAAACAACCAATAAAATGAAAAGGGAACCTACAGACTGGAAGAAATATTGCAAATCACATATCTGATAAAGTGTTAATATCCAAAATCAGTAAAGAACTCTTACAACTTACGAGCAGAAAAACAACCCAGTTGAAAAATGGGCCAAATAGGAATGACCAATAGTAAATGGGGAGACATACATTAAAATAATACAAACTAGCAGACATGCAGGATGAAAAACTTAAAGATCTAATGTACAACATGAGGGCTATAGTTAATAAAAATGTGTTGTCTTTGGGATTTTGTTAAATAAGATTTTAGCTGTTCCTGTCAAACACAAAAAAATGAAACTATGTGAGATGGTAGATACATTAATTTGCTTCACTGTAGTAACCAGTTTACTATATGTATCCTTTAAGATCATGTGGTCAACCTCAAATATATAAAATAAATTTTATTTTAAAAAAGAAAAGTTTGTCTTCAATCCAGAAAGAACCACTATTACCATTTTTTGGTGTTCCGTTACAAAATATTCCGTGAATATACAACTGTTCAATCAAATTTAACATTAGACTTTATACTTGAACATTCAAAGCATGTAAGAAATTATAGAAAAGTGTCTGTGTGACTCCCTGTCTGCAGGGCACAGACTGCATCTCCACAACACACACGCGACCGGTACCTTACACAGAGAGTCCTTGTTCGCCTTTAGTCTGACGCCATGGGTAAGCCCGAGTTGGCTGGTGGTCCACATTCCTGACCAGGTGTCTTTCTCACCCACTGGGTTCAACAAAGATGCTACTGGGTTATAGAAGGCTGGGATGGAAACAGGATACCAAGTTTGCATGAAGACAATATCTGAAAAGAGAGGTAATTTACTTTAACGTTTTCAAAAGGAGATTCATATCCATATTGTGAAGAAACAAAGAACAAAACCTTCACTCCAAACTTCTCTACCTGGTTGCAAAATATCTGAAGGGAAAGCTCGCTAAGAAACTATTCTCATAGATCACAGAACTGTTACTGGGTGTGGCCAGGAGACTGCAGACACAAGGCGAATGGGCACACCGCATAAGACTGGGAGATCTAAGGCTGGAGCTGATCAACTCTCTAGAGACCTGACTCCAGCCTCTCGTCACACTGGCTAGAAGTCAAGCATGAATGGTAACACCCTGCCCTGAACACTACTCAGGACACTCACCACTCATCAGCAGCTTATCCTGAAAGCTGGCCCGGAAAGCTCCTTCTGGAGCTCAGAGCGCTTTCTTGATCTGCCCCTTATCCCACTGACAGTTTGAATCACAGCACCTTCAAATTTGGCTACTTCCAAGGCAGAATTAAACATTCCCTACAGGTATAGCAAGATAAAAACACACACAAAATCATATACTTTATGCTTTACTTCTCCCTCAAACTATATCCTTGGTTAAAGAAAAAAAACAACTCACTGAAGGGTGATACAATAATCAAAATGTATTTGCCCCTGAAAGTAGAATTACTACCTCAAAAATACAACCCTTCATTTCCCCCAAAATAATCATGTGGGTTCATGGGCATGCTCATCACCTGCTGTCTGTGTGGAAGAGAAGATCGAAGAGGGATTTACTGGACTGAACTGGCCTAGGCAGCCTTTGCTGGCGTCTCTCAGACTGGACTGCCGCTCAGATCCTTTTACTCAGGTGCATACACTTAGAACATGAAAACAGTAAGATAAACGCCGGTGGTATTATTACCTTATATTGCAAGAACAATTTTATGATCTTCCTAACTCTGTGTTTCTAATGGAAACATTCCCCACTAATGAAATTGTCAATAAATGCTGCTCAAACCACCCTCCCCAAATACTGAAAAAACAGTACATCTGTTTCTCTGTACCCTTGCCAAGTTGTCTGCAAATGCTTTGTCGATTTTCTGCTGAATGGTTAGACAAACTTGTGATTTTTTTCCTTTGTTAACACAAATTTAAAAAGTAGGAAACAAAACCCAGTGGATAAAATGACATATTTCAATATGAGTTCTGTGGCAGTCTCACATGGAAGTCATGAGTAACAGCCTCAAAAATAGCTGTTTTACTACTGCTTTTTCGGCACAGTTAAGTAACAGAATATAAAGGAACAAACAAAATATGAAGTTTATAAAAAGATTTCAAATACTTTTCTAAAAACATGAGGCCCATATTTTAAAGTATTTCATTCCTTTTCTCAAACAATATGGACATTTATAAATATGAGAATATATAGATATACAGACCTTAATAAATGAAGTATTCTTGAAAATTTTTATATGGAAAACCAGTTAGCTTTAATTTCTTCACAATTTTATGGATTTATCCAGATCAAGGACAACTCCTGTGGCAGCTATCCGAAAATCAGGCTAACAGGAACCCAAAATTTGAAAATAGGAATAATATCAGCAAGAGAAAAACTTCAATTCTATGTGACACAATACATTACCAAAGTGAATTTTACTTACAATTAGCTAAGAAAAACAAGAGAGACCTATCTGAACTTGGCAACCCAGTGGTCTGACAAAAGCAATCCAAACTAAAGCTGGTAAGCCAAATAACAAGGGTGACATGAGGCTGAGCACGGGCTCATACCTTAATCCCAGCACTTTGGGATGCTGGAGGTGGCAGTCACCTGAGGTCAGAAGTTCAAACCAGTCTGGCCAATATGGCAAAATCCCTCTACTAAAAACTACAAAAATTAGCTGGATGTGTGGGCAACCCTGTAATCCCAGCTACTTGGGAGGCGAGGCAGGCAGTCCGCTTGAAACCAGGAGGCGAGGTTGCGTGACCAAGATAGCCACTGCACTCCAGCCTGGACAACGACTGAGACTCTGTCTCAAAAAAAAAAAAAAAAAAAAGTGGCGGGGCACTTGAGTACTTCCCGAGATGATTTCAGAGGAACGTAATTCACTATAATGATCTTATTAGAATGAAATGGAAAAAAAATACAGTTGCAATGTTTAGGAAATCAAAATTTGGACCTCCAGGCAGGTTCCATCTGCTCATTATTCTGCTTTCTTCTCTGTTAAATGGGACCGATAAACCCGCCCTGCCTGACTGGTCAAATGAAAATGGTGTGAACAGACTGCTACCCCAGCACGGCTGCAGGGAGTCTCGTGTCTGGCTGGTCTCTGATGGCCTCCTCACAACCTCATGTAGTGCTTGCACATGGTGACACTTTTTAAGTACTTGCTTAGATAAATAAATCCAAAAATGCACAAAGTAGGAAATGTACCATTATAATTCTTCCACCTCCCTCCCTAATCCCACACCCTACTGAAAAGGATGTAGAAGATTAAAAGCAAAAGGAAATTTATTTATTAATACTAAAAATGAATAATTTCAAACTTAAAGTCTCATGTATATAACCCACATTCAGGATATATTTCTCAAACCAATCTGTAAAAGAAATCATCCAAGATAGTTACCATTATGCCAACTGACAGACTGTATTGCCAAGAAACCAGTTCCCTGTGGAGTGATAGGGCCTTAAAGGAAAAGCAAAAAAAGAAATATAGCAAACCACAAATTTTAGATTCTAGTTTAACATACTGGATATGGACATTTGGATTTGGATATAGATTTACATATATACTCCAAACCACCTCCCCACTCCCAGAAAAGAGAAAAATCTTAGGAGTGAAATTTTATGAAAGGAAAAGCAAAAAGCTATAATAATGCAGCCTGTAAGGTTTAATCTCTGCAATAGGCAAGTTATTGTAATCATATTTTACCCCAAAAGGCTGCTCCGCAATGCATGTGCTGTGGGTATACTTTAGAAGCCTTTGTCTTCCATTGTGGTCTTCGATATAATAGAGTGGGATGGTCTGAAACCTCCTCCACCCTACAGAAAATATGATTGGATCTCGGGACTTGAGGATTTTCTTATACCAGCGATGTTTCTTCAGACGCATCTGAGGGGACGAGAGGGTAAGATGATTGATGGAGGGAAATCCACAGAGCCTCAGGCACCAAATACCAGCAAAGGGACCCACCTGCACGTATCCAACATTTCCCTCACTGTTGCCCAAGCCACCCAGGATAATGGGGTAATGGGGGTCAAAGTTCTGCACAAATTCACAGGGAACATTTTCAATCTCAACGCGGACGTACATCCCAGGTCGAAAACCCTCATACTGAACTCTGGCTTCATCATCTTGATCTTCAAATTCTGCGCGATTCAGCTACACATGACAGGAAAAAAAAAAAACAAACCCATATGCCGTTATCTGTAATAAACATAAGAGTAACATGAACAAAGGCGCAATTTCTAAATAAAGGAACTATGGACAGAATTATGTAGGCTTTATCCTATTAAAAATACTACACATTTGGCCAGGCACAGAGGCTCACGCCTGTAGTCCCAGCACTTTGGGAGGCCGAGGCAGGTGGATCACATGAGATCAGGAGTTTGAAACCAGTCTTCAATATGGTGAAACCCCGTCTCTACTAAAAATACCAAAATTAGCTGGGTGTGGTGGTGTGTGCCTGTAGTCCCAGCTACTCAGGAGGCAGAGGTGAGAGAACTGCTTGAACCCAGGAGACGGAGGTTGCAGTGAGTTGTGATCGTGCCACTGCACTCCAGCCTGGGCAATAGAGCGAGATTCCGTCTCAAAAAACAAAAAGCAAGAAACAAACAAACAAAAAAAACCTACACATTTTACCTCTACAGTCTGCTCAGAATATGTCCCAACCGTTTTCTTCTCTGCTGCTCCAAGGGACAGCAAATGTAGATAACTCTGTGGAGCCCTGCGTGCCTGAGCACTGGAAATGTCTCCAGTCCACACCTTCTTTCCTTCCTCTCCAAACAATTCTTTCACACTTTTCCCGTCTTCAAACACCCAACACCAACCTCACCTCCACTCAGCTGATGGCTGTTTCCTGATTCACTCCAAAACCAAAAGAACCTCCCTGGTCAACCCTCTACCAGGGTTTCCTCCCATATCCAGCCTTATCAGAGTTCTGACCTGGCCCATAGGGGAGCTATGTGTGGCTATTTAAATTAAAATTAATTACAATTAGGTAATATTTAAAATGCAGTTCCTCAATCATACTAGCCACACTGGAAGTGGTCCATATCAACCTGCGGCCAGGGTTACAATACTGGGAAGCAAAGACGTGCATCTCCATGATCACAGAAAGTTCTACGGGCAGCTCAGGAACAGATGATTTGTCCATGCTTCTACTCAGGGCCACACATCACTTGCTCACTAGACATCATCCACTCTTCCTGGACTTTACTCCAACAGCTGTTCCCTCTGTTCCCTCTCTTATCTCAAAACCTTTTGATTCCACTTTTTCCACCAACAACTGCTCCATTTCTCTGCTTCTCTCTGCAGCAAAACCCCACAAAAGTTTTCTGCAGTCACAGCTTCCAGTTCCTCTGCTCCCATTCTCCTACATCCATGAAAATTGGTGCTTGCCAAGACTGATGAAGGCCCCCACACTGAAGGACTCTTCCAGTGGTCAACTCTGCCTTCACCATAGTTAACATGCAGCAGGGTCTGAACAACGCTTCGCCTCCGTGTACAACTGGCTTCCCGTGTGCCTGCATGCTCACACTGCTTCTCCTGCCTGGGCACTGCTCAGGCCTCACGGCCACAGTCCCCCATCTCGCCCATGCCAGTCTTGCTCCTCCCACTCACTCTGCACTCACTCCCTGGCCACCTGACAACGTTAAGTGGCATCTACATGCTGAGGGCTGTACATCTAAGTCCCTGGCCAGACCTCTCTCCAGACCTGACACTCCACTTGTCTGCATGACACCCAACCGAAACAAACATCATCTTCCCAAAGCTGCATCTGCAGAGGGTTTCCTGTCTAACTTACAACAACCCATCCTTCCAGGAACTTCCAGTCACCATCCTCATTTCCTCTTACACACCCCACATTCAGTCCACCAGGAAATCCTACTGACCCAGCTTCTAAATAAAGTCTATCCGGGTTTGACTCTTTGTCTCATTTCCACTGCCAGCTCTCTGGTTTGTGCCACCTGCCTGATCTTTTGGCAGAGTGATCCGATTACCTTAATGTCTCTCCTCTGCTCAAAACCCTCCAAGGACTCCCATTTCAGAGTGAAACATTCAGTCTTTTCCAATGGCCCACAAGGCTCTAGGTAATTTTAAATTGTAAATGGTGTGAAGCAAAAACTTCAGAGTTAGCCTAGTCATGCCAATCAAAGGTCAACACAGACTTGCAACCACGAAGCTAATGCCTAATCAGGAGATAGTTCTTTGACTAAATGAAGACCTAGATCTGTCCCAGCTTACACAGGCACTCCTGGCCTCACTAACAAGGCGCAACTCAGATGCTCACCATCAACTGTACACATGTTTCTGTGTCTGTCTCCTTCAGAGTGAGATCACCGCCTCCAGCAACCTGCTCAGCACCCCCAGGCAGGAGGGCCACACCATATCCCTTTATCTCTGCATCAGACCTTACATTCCACATGTCCTTCTGAACTCTGACCAGGATGAGTTTTCAGAGCACTCCTCCTATGAGCTCTGGTGTGTCCATAAGCCACATGGGCCACTGATC